ACCCCTCATACCACCCTCACCACCCACATCACCCTTCTCACCACCAGTTTCACCCTCTTTATCACCACCAGCGCGCTTTACCACCCGCCCCACATCACCGCTCGCTCAACTACCATCCCCATACTCCTCACCACGTGGTACCTTCACCAAACAGAGGCCATATCCGATGTTGCCACTCGGCTGAACCTCCCTATCTCTTGCCTTCAACGGGAAGTCCAGGCAATGTATCTGCATGTAACACGCCTTCAGACCCCGGTTCAGGCAGCGGAGGAACTTCTGCTGTTGTGATGTTGACTGCGTGTACCGGAAATATCGCAGCATCTGGTACGGGTTCATCGTCATCGTCATCATCTTTAGCTATAGCACCGGCTACAAGTGTTAGTGGAGGAGCTGAATATATGACGTCACCATTGTTGCCTCATCGTGGACGGACGCCCCCTTGTAGTGTTGTGTCTCAGCGTCTGGCAGCACAGTCGCCTTCCGCTTCCGGTAATAACGTAGCCTCTAACATAGCATCTTCCGCGTCGAACGTTCCCGTTATCGAATACGTTGGAGCCAGCGGTGGGAGACACGTGTCTACTCCCACACCCCCGCCGACTTCATTACTACCGCGTTGTGGTAGCTTGAATAGTTGTGACCTTGGAATTGAAAACCCTTTATGTGGAAGTGGTGATGGTGTGAGCAACAGCACCGGTAGTGTAGGAGGTAACGGCCATCACCACCACAATCTTAATCACAGTCTTCACCAACAGCAGCCGCCGCCTCAGAGAAGAGGGTGTGGTGGGGTCATCGATAAATTGGACCCACAAGGCTCAACAATGTCATTATGTTGTGGAAGTAGTCGCAGATTCGCAACGATGCAGGCTCCGCCACCTCCAATGTCGCAGCAGCAAGTCATTTCAACGGCTGCGCAGTGCCCAGCTGGGTGCACGTCGACAGGCGAACTGCAGCCGCCGTCTGTCTCGACGACTGCACCTTCTGTCCCCAGGCCAGAATCTAGACAATCCCTGGCTGCATCCGCTGCTACCACACCGTCACATCCGGCCCTCCAGCACAGCACCCCCCACCACTCGTCTCTCTGGTGAGTCTCTTTTGCGATACTTCGTGTCTTTTTTAATGTCCTCTTTGTCGAATTAGCGTTGCAAAAGTCCATATATTTCCTTTAGGAAGGCGTCTGAGTACAGTCGAAAGCTAGATCCAAGAAAGTAGAAATTATCTGGGAAAGTAGGTAGTGAGAATATGGAATGGATTCGAATGGATCGAGTGGATTCTCATAAAGACGATAAACGATGGTCTCAAGAATGTCTCTGCTCCATATCGTTAGTTAATTCGACATTGAAATATCTCTGAAGTTGCAGCATTGCTGTAAGTCAGGTTTGCCCAACTTCAGGCTGCAGTGTGAAGTTCGAAAGAGGCCATACTTGATAAACATTAAGTCTAACGACACGTTTCAAATGGAAGACTTCAGTACTTTTATGTTGAAGATACTGTACTGAACTTTTATTTATTTATTTAGTGTTCTGTCTGACGACAGGTCCATATGAACAGGATCCTTCCATCCTTTCCTCGGACTCGGACCTGTTCATATACGTTCTTGGCAGATGATCCAGAAGTGGTTTGCCATTGCCTTCTTCTGTGTGTGAATGGAGTAATTGTTGGGATGCCACGGAGAAACCGGGGAAGAAGCCCCCGGAGGAAAACTCCGTGTTGCCTAGACCACGGCCTTGCCCAACACAAGTTATAAATTCGGACACC